AGCTCCCTGCTGTAATTAAAAGAGGACTTGTCCAGGTTCTACAGATGGAGAGAATTCATCTATCACAGAGAGGAGCTGATGTTATTCTTTCCCTTCCCTAAGATAATCAGTGGGGTGACAGTATCCCAATGGCACTCCTCTGGGGCAGCTTTGGTGACTGCTAAATAATCTGGGACTACAGATAGGCCAGAGGGCTTCTCAGATTAACAGCCCATTGAGCTAACATGGTTAAAGCTCACCAATGGCACAAAGTCCATCTGCTTTGACTCCTCAGCTTCCCACTTATAGCTAGGCTGCCTAAGGACAGCCTTTGACACAAGTCTGGGGTAAGTCTCAAATTCACCCTTCTCCAAAGGCAGCAAAACACCTGAATCATGCACTGCCTGTGCACCACTTGGAGCTATACATAGCAGAGAGCATAATACCTGGGCTGTTCTGTCCTTGCTAATTGCTAAGCAGCTACTGGGAACAGAGAGGATAAGTCTCAGGAGTAGAATGAAGGGCTGTTTGGTTTTGATATTGAATTTCAGCTGAAGGAGCTGCACAAATAGACCGGATGTTTAGGAAATGCCAGCACCTGGTCCTGCTTTGCAGTCTGATGTCCAGGTGGCTGCACCCCTGGGGCTCACTGGCTTATTGACATTTGATAAAGGCTCAAGGAAGCTGAGGTGAAAACACTGCTGCCTGACCAGTGCTTACAGTGGGGCTTTGCTTGGCACAGACCCATTAGCTAGATGCCTTTGCCGGAGCATGACTAAGTGTTCTCATTGGCTAGAAAGTGCAAACATAGAGACTCTTGTAGTATGATCGATCCAATGATGGGTTACACAACAAAGCTACCAGGCCTGCTGGCTACAGAACTTGACTTCAGGAGCCCTTGTCTGCCAGGCAGGCCAAAGATGGAGGCAGAATGGAAGCAGAGGGTTTATTTGCAAAGGAAAGCAGAGCTGTGGATGACTGGCTGGGCAGGGCCCACCTCTAGTAGCATCAGTGGAAGGTATGCCCACAGGACCCTTAGGCTTCTCCCTGCACTGGTTGGACTTATTCTGATACAAGCTGGCATTGGATTTATGGCACATCATAACCCGCCTAACATCTGATTCCCTAGGTACCTCTCAACTATTTACCGGCTGCATTGATCCCCCTTTCCCTCTCCTCCTCCCCCCGCCCCCAGGCCTGTCTCTCACCCACTGACTCCTCAGTTTACATCTTCACTAACTGACTTTCTTGCATGCATACCAGCCTCTGGTTTCTTTACTATTCACTCTATTCTGGAAGAGCACACATACCAACTGCAGATGCTTCCTCAGCCTGACGAAGGGTATTTATACCCAAAGGCTTGCTAAGAAGAATTTTTCCAGCTATTTGAGTTGGTCTAATAAAAGATATCAGATTTAGCCAAAGAACCTTGTCTGTCTTTGCCCTCTTGAGGACACTCTTTACCTAAAGGT